TGTGTTGACAGAGCAATGAAGTTGGAAACAGTGTCAGGATGGAGAAGGAGGGATTTAAAAGGAGTCTGTGTACTGGAGCAAAGGGGTCTTAAAGTGCAGTCCATTGTGACAGACAGACATACAGGGGTCCAGAAGTTCCTGAGGGAGGAAAAAAAGGACATCAAACACTTGTTTGAYCCTTGGCATAAAGTATATAGATCATTAATGTGTACTTGGATAATTGTGTTTTCTTATTACGTTTATTGTGGTGATGTTTTTAGAAATAGGGAAAAAATGGATGCCATGGCTAAAGTAAGAAGAATGCAAGAAGTGGGTAATTGGAAGAAGAGTGTTGTGAATCACCTCTACTGGGCCGCATCAACATCTGCGTCAGGAGAAGAGGCTGTGGCAAAGTGGAGTTCAGTGGCCAACCACATACAAAACGTACACACTCACGACAACGCACTCTTCCCTCAGTGCCTACACAAGCCTCCAGTTGGAGAGCAGGCAAGACAGTGGCTCCAACCAAAATAAGTGTGCGTGTGTGTATCAATCAATCACTGAGAACCTTTGATGAAACACTATATATGCATGACCTCTTAAGCACAGCAGCATGTGAAAAGCTCACATCCCTTTTGATGGCACCACATCTACTAAAAGATGTTCAGAAGATAAGCCCACAGCACCACACATCATCATCACTAGAGGCTTTCCACAGTTTGATTTTGAAGTTCGCCCCCAAGAGTGTGTTGTTTTCTTTCAAGGGAATGTTGTGCAGGTAATTTTTTTAATAAAAGGTACAGCATAACTGGAACGTTTTGTCAGGGATCCAAGCACAGAAAAATAATTTATCTTTTTYATATTTGTCTTTAGACTACAGCTTGCTGCACTTCATTACAATGAAAACGCATGCAGGTCACATGCTGTGACAGCCACAARGGAGCTGAGATACTCCATAGAATTTCCTAAATACAAGCACGGAGACTACACTGTCAGACCGCTCAAGACAAAACCAACATCAAGTATGTTGTATTTTAGAAAACAAGGATGAAATTTTTTATTTGAAAAATTTTGATATCATTCTCTTGTTCATAAAGGCTACATCGACAATCTGATGGGTCTGCTTTTTGATCACGTCGCGGAAGACCCTCAGCCGTACCAGGACTTCTCAGACCAAGTTCCTGTTCCACAGAAGCTATGTGAAGAGTTTCTGAAACCAGACAAGAAGGAGGCAGTGAGCAGACACAGGTCACGATTCTTCTATAAAACATGAGGTGAGAAACGCATCAGAATATTTTGAATTACCACACAGCTTACTATTTTCAGCGTAAAACAAAGTTTTACATTTCAGTACTCGATTACATACAAGATACCTACTGAAATGTGTTTCTTGTTTAATTTCTTGTATATTACATTAAGGTCTGACAAATGGTACATATTGAAAATTTGGATTAAATTTTCCTTACGCCCGATGTTTTAAAAGAGTAACAAGTCATAGTTTCAACCAGCAGGTGACACCAAACACTCCTATGTCATGAAGATAGATAAGGGATTTAAAAAACATTTTAAGTGGTCAATAATTATGTTTTATTCTGTTTCACAGACTGGTCTGCCTTGATGGAAAAGGAAAAGTCTTTCCCTCTACCGATGGCATCTATTGCAGCATGTATACTGACTTGTACAGAGCTTGTGTTTGCCCAGTATTAGATTACAAACCAATACAAACCTGCATTCAGATAAAGGACAGTTATGGTCCTGAGCCTTATGAAATATGGAACCTATGAAACCTTAAAGGTCAATTTGTGCACAGTTTACGGTACATCTGGCACTTTGTCTCTGGTTATGGAAACTGTGTTTTCGCTCAATTCAAGAGGAAAACCGTTTGTTCTTTTTGTCATTTGGGTGAGGTTGAACATCAGATGCACTTTTTGTTTCTTGTTCTTTATATACTACTTTGACAAATGAACTGTTTAATACTGTTATTAATGTTTATTAAAATTTAGTTTATCTAGCTGATGGACAGAAAATCCAGTATTTATTGAAACATTGTTGTATTTCACTTAGCACAATATTTGTTAAAAGTCAGGCACCTCTGGAAGAGGATACCTTTGGTTTTAAGAATGTGTGTATATATATATATATCTGTCCACCTGTGAGTTTATTTATTTTATGGTT